AGGGACCGAATGGCTCGGCAGCAGTTCTGCAGAGAAGGACCTAGAGGTGACAGTGGATGAGAAGCTGGATATGAGTCAACAGTGTGCCCTTGTTGCCAAGAAGGACAATGGCATTTTGGGATGTATAAGTAGGGGCATTGCCAGCAGATCAAGGGACGTGATCGTTCCCCTCTATTCAACACTGGTGAGGCCTCATCTGGAGTACTGTGTCCAGTTTTGGGCCCCACACTACAAGAAGGATGTGGAGAAATTGGAGGGAGTTCAGCGAAGGGCAACAAAAATGATTAGGGGTCTGGAACACATGACTTATGAGGAGAGGCTGAGGGAACTGGGATTGTTTAGTCTACGGAAGAGAAGAACAACGGGGACCTGATACTGCTTTTAACTACCTGAAAGGTAGATCCAAAGAGGATGGATCTAGACTATTCTAGATCAAGATCTATTCTAGGACAAGGAGTAATGGTCTCAAGTTGCAGTGGGGGAGATTTAGGTTGGATATTAGGAAAAACTTTTTCACTAGGAGGCTGGAATGCATTGCCTAGGGAGGTGCTGGAATCCCCTTCCTTAGAAGTTTTTAAGGTCAGGCTTGACAAAGTCCTGGCTGGGATGATTTAGTTGGGGATTGGTCCTGCTCTGAGCAGGGGGTTGGACTAGATGACCTCCAGAGGTCCCTTCCAACCCTGATATTCTATGAGATCCATCCTAATCATCGTATCCACTCATTATACTCCACACCTGAACATAGCCATTATATGGACAACATACCCCCATATCTCAATGTCTGTACTTTGACCCATTTAACTTTTACCCCCAATCGGGGAGATTGCAGATTATGTATTCCTTACGCCACCCGTTCCTAAACCGAATTTCACACCCCTTGATAATCTGTACCTTATTCCCTGATAACCAGAAACTTCTATGCTTAAACTCTGTACCGTTTTCTTTTTACTTCAACATTATCTTAATAAAATTATTAAATCTGACACTGGCAGGGAGTTCTTTTGGCCAACTACGTATTGTACAATGTATTTTCTTATACTGGCTTTATACCATTAAATTCCATACCTTGTTGTTCTTGCATTATGGGATGGGAACTCTGTTTACATTCCACCCTTCAAGATCTTAAAAGCAAGAGTCTTTGGAATAGTAACTGTCTTTTTTTAATTACTTCTCTGTACAATGCCCGGCCCCAAAAAGGCCTGATCCCTCTAGACCGTACTGTAATATAAATAAATAAATATCTTAAATCTCTTGTAGCTCAGCGTTTCTCAAACTGAGGTCCACGGTCCCCAAGGGTACTCCAGGGGATCCACGGGCCCCACTGATCAACTCCTCCTCCTCCCACTATTTCCTGGAGGTTACTGAAGCCAAACTAGAAGATTTTAGATGCTAAAAGTGCGGCAGCACAGTGGGGTTAAGGCAGGTTCCCTGCTTGCCCTGGCTCCACGCTGCTCCCAGAAGTGGCCGGCACATCCCTGCGACCCCTGGAGGGGCGGGGACAAGTGGGTCTCTGCGAGCTACCCCCACCCCGAGCACCAACTCTGCAGCTCCTTTGGCCGGGAACTGCGACCAATGGGAGCTGTGGGGGCAGTGCCTACAGGCAGGGGCAGCACAGGGAGACCCCCCTGATCCCCCCACCTAGGAGTCACTGCCAGGGAGATGTGCCGGTCACTTTCAGGAGCCACCCAAAATAAACACCACCCAGCCGGAGCTTTCTTCTTCCACAAAGTGAAAAGTAAAGTCACTGAAGCAATGCATAAAATGGGAGGTTGGGGGGGGGGGGGGTCATGCAGAGGACAAGTGTGGATACATGATAACATCCCCAAGTCCAACACAGCCTGCTAGAGCAAAGGCTCACAAACTTTTTCACAATATGGACCACAACTCTATACAGACAGGTTTCAGAGTAGGAGCCGTGTTAGTCTGTATTCGCAAAAAGAAAAGGAGTACTTGTGGCACCTTAGAGACTAACAAATTTATTTGAGCATAAGCTTTCATCGGATGAAGTGAGCTGTAGCTCACGAAAGCTTATGCTCAAATAAATTTGTTAGTCTCTAAGGTGCCACAATTACTCCTTGTCTATACAGACAATAGCTCATGGATATCTGCCTTTATGTATGAATCATATAACATTACTGGAACTTCAGCAAATGCCTATGAAGAAATATAACATTAGGGATAGTAGTCTTCCATCACAATTTAGCAGATGAAAATAAAAAGAAACCAGCATCATGTGTTCTGTCACAAAGTTTGAGAACCTCCGTGACAAAATATCCATAGGGATCACAGTGACAGACAATTTAATATTTGCAGACTCCATTTCAGCAAGATCACACAGTATCCATTTCTAATAATAAAATACAGGGTAATTTTTTTTTTAATTTATTTAATACTATTTTTTCTTAATTTACTGCAAATAAGCATTTAGCTGCCACAGCAATAAATACTTTACAAATCTGTAATACAAACATCATAAGGAGAATAAAAGTGGCCAAGGGAGTTATTCCAGCATTTTATAAAACTAGGGCTGTCAATTAATCGCAGTTAACTCAAGCAATTAACTCAAAAAAATTAACAGTGATTAAAAAAATTAATCACAATTAATCGCAGTTTTAATCACACTGTTAAATACCAATTGAAATTTATTAGTTTGTATATTTTTCTACATTTTCAAATATATTGATTTCTATTTCAACACAGAATACAAAGTGTATAGGGCTCACATTATATATTATAAATATTTGCACTGTAAAAATAAAAATAGTATTTTTCAATTCACTTAATACAAGTACTGTAGTGCAATCTCTATCATGAAAGTTGAACTTACAAATGTAGAATTATGAACACACAAAAAACTGCATTCAAAAATAAAAGAATGTCAAACTTTAGAGCCTACAAGTCCACGCAGTCCTACTTCTCGTTCAGCCAATCGCTCAGACAAACAAGTTTGTTTACATGTGCGGGAGATAATGCTGCCCACTTCTTGTTTACAATGTCACCTGAATGTGAGAACATGTGTTTGCATGGCACTGTTTTAGCTGGTGTTGCAAGATATTTACGCGCCAGACGTGCTAATGAGTCATATATCCCTTCATGCTTCAACCACCATTCCAGAGGACATGCATTCATGCTGATGATGGGTTCTGCTCAATAACCATCCAAAGCAGTGCAGACCAACGCATGTTCATTTTCATCATCTGAGTCAGATACCACCAGCAGAAGGTTGATTTTCTTTTTTGGTGGTTTGGGTTCTGTAGTTTCTGCATCAGAGTTTCTCTCTTTTAAGACTTCTGAAAGCATGCTTCACGCCTCACCCCAATAGATTTTGGAAGACACTTCAGATATTTAAACCTTGGATCGAGTGCTATAGCAATCTTTAGAATCTCACATTAATACCTTCTTTGCATTTTGTCAAACCTGCAGTGAAAGTGTTCTTAAAACAAACAACATGGTGGGTCATCATCCAAGACTGCTATAACATGAAATATACGGCAGAATGTAGGTAAAATACAGAGCAGGAGACATACAATTCTCCCCCAAGGAGTTCAGTCACAAATTTAATTAACACATTGTTTTTTTTAACGAGCGTCATCATCACTATGGAAGCATGTCCTCTGGCACGGTGGCCAAAGCATGAAGTGGCATATGAATGTTTAGCATATCTGGCACATAAATATCTTGCAACGCCAGCTACAAAATTGCCACGCGAATGCATGTTCTCACTTTCGGATGACATTGTAAACAAGAAGCGGGCAGCACTGTCTCCTGCACATGTAAACAAACTTGTTGTATAAGCAACTGACTGAACAAGAAGTAGGACTGAGTGGACTTATAGACTCTAAAGTTTGACATTTATTTTTCAAAAATAAATATAGAGTGAGCACTGTACACTGTATTGTGTTGAAAGTGAAATCAATGTATTTTAAAAAGTGGAAAACATCCAAAATATTTAAGTATTCTATTACTGTTTAACAGCGCAATTAATTTTTATAATTGTAAGATTAATCGTGATTAATTTTCGTAATCACTTGACAGCCCTACAATATATAAATGGGCTATCTGACCCACTGCTGAACACAGCCACCTTTGAGATAAAACTTGGAAGTTGTCTGAGTGCACAGTAAAACAACAGTAAAAAAAACGCAGAATAAGAAGTGAAAAAGAATCCTGTAACAATTTGAGATTGCAGGCGGAATTTAGGGTAGCAGAATATAATTCCTGAAACAAAAATTAGGTCAGGAAAATGGCCTCAATTTCTGGACAAAATGATGTGGAATCTTTAATGACTACAGATGATCAGAACCTTAGTTTTATATCTCACCTAAAAAAATTTCCCCCTCCAATAGCATGTCCTAGCATAAGGTTGGGACACTGATTGTAAATGGGGAGTGTCAACTACTGAATCACCAACACTACCTTCTGCAGCACCTGAGCATTCTTTGGGTGGTTTCCAATCCAAGTACTGGCCAAGGCTGACCATCCTCATTAGTTGTATGTAGTGTTGTTGTACCTGTGTTGGTCCCAGGATATTAGAGACACAAAGTGGGTGAAGTAATATCTTTTATGGGACCAAATTCTGTTGGTGAGAGAGACAAGCTTTTGAGCTTACACAGGGCAATGGGGTTCAAAAAAGAACTAGATAAATTCATGGAGGATATGTCCATGAATGAACATTAGCTAGGATGGGCAGGGATGCAAAACCATGCTCAGAAGTGTCCCTAGCCTCAGTTTGCCAGGAGCTGGGAATGAGCGACAGGGGATGGATCACTTGATGATTATCTGTTCTATTCATTCCCTTTGAAGCACCTGGCACTGGCCACTGTCAGAAGACAGGATACTGGGCTGGATGAACCTTTGGCCTGACCCAGTATGACCGTTCGTATGTTCAATAAAATATTACCTCACTCATCTGGTCTCTCATTCTTATTTGATCCGACAAGATCAAACCCAGTATGGCTGCAAACTAAATAAACTTAGTTCATGTTGTGAAATTGACATACTCTGTTTTCAGTTCCCGCTCTGTTACGAGTGATTGGCACCACCTCCAGCTTGGCATTGTTGGGCAATTTGGCAAATCTCCACTGCAGAGAAAGATCTAGCACAGACCTCTGAAATCTGCAAAAGAAACAAGCCCAAGAAGGAGATCAGGTAAAACCACATACTTCCCCTCAGATCATTACAGAGATTTCTAGCAATACACTGCCTAGAGCAGGAAAAAAACTCTGCACTTCTCCATAGGTTGATGAAGCGTCATGGGTTGGAGTCTATGGTGCAAAGCTGTAATTTTAGTAAGCAAACCCACAAAAAATAATTCAGCATACTGAAAATGTGCAGATTGGTGGTGGAGGTCATAGACTTTGCAAGAACTCACGGTTCTCATCTCTTCTCCCAAGACTATAAGGAAGAGGTAGAATACAAGTGAACAGGCTAGGCAACACATGGGGTAGAAAGTAATAGGAATGGTGGAATTGTCACCTTTATGGAGATCTGGAGGTGGAGGCCTGGTTCAGAATACAGTAACTCCTCACTTAACGTTGTAGTTATGGTCCTGAAAAATGTGACTTTAAGTGAAACGATGTTAAGCGAATCCAATTTCCCCATAAGAATGAATGTAAATGGGGGGGGTTAGGTTCCAGGGAAATTTTTTTTTTGCCATACAGTACATTACATTATAGTTGGGAGGTGCCCCTGCCTTACCCCACACAGGCACAGCCCACTGGCACTGGAGACAATGAGGCAGCCAAGGAGGCTGAAGGTGCTGTAGGCTAGGAGAAGCAAGTTGCGTAGCAGCTTCCCCTACTCTGCAAGCACCAGGGGCAGGGGGCCTCAACCATCGGCCCGCCCACTCCACCCCTTCCCCCAAGCCCCCACCCTTAACCCACCTTTTCTTCCCCCGCTCCTCCCCCTTTACTCCACTTGCAGTGTCCTCGCTCCTCCCCCTTCCCTCCCCTGCCTCATGCCCGCGGCAATCAACTGGCTTGCAGCGTTCAGGAGGCAGGAGCAAGGACACAGCACACAGGCTCCCCCTCCCTCCCCTACCTCCTGAACACCGCAAGCCAGCTGAATGCCGCGGGCAGGAGGCAGAAAAGGGAAGGGGGAGACACGCCACGTCCTCGCTCCTCCCCCCTCCCTCCTGACCACGGCAAGAACAGAATATAAGAATGGCCATACTGGGTCAGACCAAAGGTCCATCCAGCCCAGTATCCTGTCTCCCAACAGTGGCCAATGCCAGGTGCCCCAAAGGGAGTGAACCTAACAGGTAATTATCTAGTGATCTCTCTCCTGCCATCCATCTCCACCCTCTGACAAACAGAGGCTAGGGACACGCCTTACCCATCCTGGCTAATAGCCATTAATGGACTTAACCTTCATGAATGTATCCAGTTCTCTTTTAAACCCTGTTATAATCCTAGCCTTCACAACCTCCTCAGGCAAAAAGTTCCACATGTTGACTGTGCGCTGAGTGAAGAAGAACTTACTTTTATTTGTTTTAAACCTGTTGCCAATTAATTTCATTTGGTGGCCCCTAGTTCTTATATTATGAGAACAATAACTTTTTCTTATTCACTTTCTCCACACCACTCATTATTCTATACACCTCTATCATATCCCCCCTTAGTCTCCTCTTTTCCAAGCTGAAAAGTCCTAGCCTCTTTAATCTCTCCTCATATGGGACCCATTCCAAACCCCTAATCATTTTAGTTGCCCTTTTCTGAACCTTTTCTAATGCCAGTATATCTTTTTTGAGATGAGGGGACCACATCTGTAAGCAGTATTCAAGATGCGGGCATACCATGGATTTATATAAGGGTAATAATATATTCTCCGTCTTATTCTCTATCCCTTTTTTAATGATACCTAAAATCCCATTTGCTTTTTTGACTGCTGCTGCACACTGCGCGGACGTTTTCAGAGAACTACCCACAATGACATCAAGAACTTTCTCCTGATTAGTTGTAGCTAAATTAGCTCCCATCATATTGTCTGTATAGTTGGGGTTATTTTTTCCAACGTGCATTACTTTACATTTATCCACATTAAATTTCATTTGCCATTTTGTTGCCTAATCACTTAGTTTTGTGAGATCTTTTTGAATTTCTTCACAGTCTGCTTTGGTCTTAACTATCTTGAGTAGTTTAGTATCTGCTGCAAACTTTGCCACCTCACTGTTTACCCCTTTCTCCAGATCATTTATGAATAAGTTGAATAGGATTAGTCCTAGGACTGACCCTTGGGGAACACCTCTAGTTACCCCTCTCCATTCTGAAAATTTACCATTTATTCCTACCCTTTGTTCCCTGTCTTTTAACCAGTTCCCAATCCATGAAAGGATCTTCCCTCTTATCCCATGACAACTTAATTTACATAAGACCCTTTGGTGAGGGACCTTGTCAAAGGCTTTCTGGAAATCTAAGTACACTATGTCCACTGGATCCCCCTTGTCCACATGGCTGTTGACCCCCTCAAAGAACTCTAATAGATTAGTAAGACATGATCTCCCTTTACAGAAGCCATATTGACTTTTGCGCAGCAATTTATGTTCTTCTGTGTGTCTGACAATTTTATTCTTTACTGTTGTTTCTACTAATTTGCCCAGTACTGACATTAGAGTTACCGGTCTGTAATTGTCAGGATCACCTCTAGAGCCCTTCTTAAATATTGCCGTTACATAAGCTATCTTCCAGTCATTGGGTACAGTAGCTGATTTAAAGGACAGTTTACAAACCATAGTTAATAGTTCCACAATTTCACATTTGCATTCTTTCAGAACCCGTAGGTGAGTGTCATCTGGTCCCGGTGACTTGTTACTGTTCAGTTTCTCAATGAATTCCAAAACCTCCTCTAGTGACAGTTCAATCTGTGACAATTCCTCAGATTTGTCACCTACAAAAGATGGTTCAGGTCTGGGAATCTCCCTAACATCCTCAGCCTGAAGACTCAAGCAATCAGCTGGCTTGCGAGGTTTGGGGAGGCGGGGGGAGCCTGCACACAGAGTCCTTGCTCCTCTCCCCTCCCTCCTGAAGCTGCAAGCCAGCTGACTGCCGTGGGCAGGAGGGGGAAGGCACTGATCGGCACACTCTGCTGGCGGGCAGGAGGCATTTTGGCGGGGGGGGGCACATAGGGGAGCTGATAGGGGGCTGCCAGCTGTGCACAAAGCAAGCAGCCAAATGACATTATAGCAAAGCACTGCACAACTTCAAATGGAGCTTGTTCTGTAATTGAGCAGGGATGTAAGAGCGAAACAATGTTAAGCGAGAGGACGTTAAGTGGGGAGTTACTGTATAAACATCCATTTTGAAGTTTTTGAACAAAGCAGTACGCCAGGCCTGTAGGCATCTTTACAGCAGCCTGAAACACTCCGTGTATACGCTGCCGTAACACCAACTGGGAGAAACTAACAAACCGTGAAAGCAGCCAAGGCAAGTCTGCCTGCTGTTCCGGCGCCTGCTCCCTCCCAGCCTCAAAGCGCAGCCACTGACAGGCCGGCGCCTGCTGATGCGGGACTCGGCCGGAGCCCCAGAGACGGCTCTGGGCTGCCCTGTGGAGCCGCCGCCCGCCCGCCCGCCGGCCCGCGCAGGAACGGCCCGGGCAGCTCGCCGGGCAGCTCGCCGCTGAGCTCGCTCGTCCTGCGCGGCGCACGGAGCACGCAGAGCCGGGCGGGCACGTCCACCGCACGGCGGCAAGGGCGCGGGGGGCCCCGGCCCGCGGCGCCCAGGGCGAGCCCGCTGTCCGCTCGGAGGCCGGCCAGGCACGGAGAGGGCGCGTCCACCCCGGCCGAGACTCACTTCAGATCGTACTCGCCGGCATCGAAGTTCTGCCTCCCGCAAGCTTCCTCCAGAACCTGCGGGGACAGAAGGGCCGTCAGCGGGCGGGGCGCCGCAAGGGGCGGCCCGGGGCTGCTCGCAGCGGGCCTCGCTCCGCGGGTACCACCCCCCCGCCCGCCCGGGGCCGCCTCCCGCCGGGCAGGACCGACCTGGAGCAGCGTGGTGCCGGGCCCCACCCGCACCGCGACCCGCCGCCCGTTCGGCGCCAGCACCGAGACCGCGAAGCCCCGCCCGCCGGCGGCCGCCGCCATCTTCCCTCGCCCAGGCCCGGTCTCCCCGCCCCCCGCCGCCAGAGCGAGCCGCGGGGGGCGGGGCCCAGGCACGGACCGCCCTGCGCTCGGCGCCCCGCGCGCCTTGCCGCCGACGCCTGGCCCCTCCCTCGCCGCCGCGCCTGCGCGGTCGCCAACATTCACCGCGCAGTACGCATGCGCCTAGCCCCACCCCCTCAGCGCCTCGTCCCCGCAAGGCTTCGTGCGTCCCGCTGCTCCCTCCCCTCCCCCACACAGCGCCCCTCCTCCGGCACCCCCCTAGCCCCTCCCCTCACACAGCCCCCCACCTCCGGCACCCCTGCCCCTCCTATTCCCCAACAGCCCCCCTCCTCCTGCACCCCCAGCCCCTCCTCTCACACAGCTCCCCTCTTCCTGTACCCCAGCCCCTCCCATTCCCCAACAGCCCCCTCCTCCAGCACCCTCTGCCCCTCCCCCTCTACCCTCTTACACAACTTCCTGCATCTGCCCCTCCTCTACACAAATCCCCCTGCTAAAAGCTCATCCCTTCCCTTGTACCCCCTTTTCTACACAGCTCACAGCTCATCCCTTCCCTCCCCCTTTTCTACACAGCTCATCCCTTCCCTCCTCACCCATCTCCTCCTTTATACAGCTCTGCCCTGGCATCCCCACACATTGCTGCTTCCCCCATAACTCACACCCCCTCCACTCTCACAGCATGCTCTCTCCACAGTTCCCCTTCCCCTGCTCTCCGCCTGCTGCATATCTCACTCATCCCCCTATCATCCCATGCTTGCAGCTCACTACTTCCTCAAAGTTCATTCCCTGCCCACACTGCTCAGTCCCCCACAGCCTACACCTCCTCACCCACAGCTGTCAGGCCATGTCTACATTACAAACTTCGGGTGACACAAGTCACATCGGCATAAAATCACCACAGTTAGTATATTGCTTGTGCGCCTGTGCATGTCTGCTTGCATCAGCGCTGCACATACTCACCAGCAGTGTTTGTGTCAATGCAGTGTGTGGTGCGCCATCAATAGGTATCCCAGTGTACAACCTGCCACCATTCCGCGCACTGCCTTTTGGGAAGTTGTGGCAATCTAGGGTGGGGCAGAAACGAGTCATGCAGGGGTGACTGGGACCAAAGGATCAACTTCCCAGCATGCAACTGACTCCATCCCATAATGTCACCTTTATCCCATAATTTTTGCCCCTTTTCTAAAAATCCCTTCCCGTTTGTCTGCCATCTCTGACAGAAGCATGGAGCCTGCCCAGCTCTGCACTATTGTCATAAATGTTGCAAATGCATAGGACTCATGATCCTCTGGTGTTTGCAGAGCCATGAGAAGAACCAATTCAGCAGGAAACATCATGAGTTCATGGAGGACAGATTGCTGTGGGATCCAGCAAGAACCAATTCAAGGTTATTGGTAGTGTTCACAGAGCAGCTCCAGATGGTGGAATGTTGCTTCTGGGCCCAACAAACAAGCACTGACTGGAGGGAATCTCATTGTAATGCAGCCTTGGGACAATGAGCACTTATCTGTAGAACATTCAGATCTGCAAGGCCACATTCCTGGATCTGTGTGCCAAGCTTGCCCCAGACCTCTAGCACAGGGACACTAGAATGAGAGCCACATTGACAGCGGAGAAGCGAGTGTGATCACACTGTGAAAACTTGCAACGCCAGATTGCTACCACTGAGTGGGAAATCATTCTGGAGTTGGAAAATCCACTGCAGCGGCTGTTGCCATGGAAGTGTGCAGGGCCATTGATCATCTCCTGCTACACAGGACTGTGACTCTCAGCAATGTGCAGGGACTAGTGGATGGATTTGCAGCAATGGGATTCCCAAACTCTGGTGGAGTGATGAAATGGCATAAATGTGTATTCTGGCACCACCTTGTCCCACAGAGTTTGACAGAAAGGACTACTTTTCTACGGTTATGCAAGTGTTGATGGATTATTGTGGATGCTTCCTGTTGGCTGGTCAGGGAAGGTGTATGATGCTCACATCTTTAAAAAAAAGAGAACTGTTCAGAAAGCTACAAAAAGGGACTTTCTTTCCTGACCCTCGGATTACTATTGGCAATGCTGAAATGTCACTAGTGATGCTGGGGGACCCACTCCATCCTCTGGCTCATGAAGCCATACACCAGCCACCTTGACAGTTCCAAGGAAAGATTCAGCTATCAGTTCAGCAGGTGCAGAATGACATTTGAATCTGCTTTTGGGAGATTATACGACGCCAGTGTTCCTTCACTCACACAATTGGATCTCAGTGAGAAAAATATTTCAATGGTTATAGCTGCGTGTTGTGTCCTGTGTCATACTGGTGATGCAAACAGGGAAATGTTGCTGCCAGGCAGAGATGGAGCACCTGTCTGCTGAGTTTGAACAGCCAGACATAAGAGCTGTTAAAGAGCTCAATATGGAGCTATAAGGCTAGAGGGAGGCCTTGAAAGATCACTTAAACAGTCAACTGCAGAAATATGGTGTGGTGGACTGTGGTGTACCTGGCCCTGAAATTTTAGCAGCTATGAGGAATTGTCTCTCTTTTTAAGTAGGCCCTCCAGTTAGAGCATGCTCTGCAGCTGCTGAGGGATGGGTCCCCTCACTACTGCTCCCCATATCCCGTAGCCTTAGCATGGTGTCAGTACACACCATCACAGCTGTGAGTTTGCCATTGAACCTATAAGTTCTAATACCCTGTGCAAGAACAGGTAGTGGGCACTTTAAATAGTATGAAGTAATAAAGTTTATTTACCAACAAATAGATTTGTATTGCATACTAAAACCAGTGCAAAAAATGTGTAGACAAACAAATACAAGAAACATTTCTGAAATTAACAGAACAGGACTTAACAAGGAGAAAGAATATTCACATCCATTTCAGTTATACATACACTGAGCTGTGAGAAGAAAAGGAGTACTTGTGGCACCTTAGAGACTAACCAATTTATTTGAGCATGAGCTGTGAGAGTCACAGTTGCTGTATGTAAAGCAGTGATTCTCCTTCTTGTCCCCTGGCATGGAGTGGTTTGGATATGGACATAGCCCCTTGATGTCATGTGGAATGTGGGAAGCGGGAAGGGAGGTGTTGAAATGGAGTACTCCATTGACTATAAAGGAAGGAAAGCCTGTGGATCAACAAGAATCTGCAGCATTTGTGTTTAGTGCTAGAGAAGCCCCATTATGTCCTAATCCATCTCCCTAATACAGCTCCTGAGCCCTTCTCCCGGCTGCTCTTTCCCTCTCCATAAAGTCTGAAATATTCACACTCGGGGCCTTCTGTTCATGGTCCGATGCTGCTCTGGCTTGCAGAATCTCGCTGAACATATCTTCCTATGTCCTCTTCTTTTCTCTCCTTATCAAGGTCAAGCATTCTGCAAGTGTGGAGAGGGTACCCCTCAAGACCACAAAGGCAGCAGTTACAGATAAAACACAGAGGTAACATATGTATAGTCACAACAGAAAACGAAAGTTAAGTTTCAGCACTCCCTTTGCTTGCTCCCCTAACATTTTAAACAAGATGTTTATTGACACTTCAGCTTCAAAACACCTGCACTGCTCTTCAGCCCCAGCCATGGTGAGTGTGGCCTTCAGGGGTGTTGGGGAGGGGGGAAGAGAAGGAATTCTTGTATTTAACAAAATTTCAGACCCTATTTCCCTAGGTACACGTGCAGGGTAATGGCTCTGAGCACTGGCACTGTTTTCCACAGGTGGTGGTGATTTTAGCTGATCTCACTCCCGAGGGTAACAAAGGCACAGAGGACAGCTGTTCCTGGTGTTTTGAAGCCAGCTGGGCCTGAATGCCACGAGTCTGTTTACTGCAGTGGTGCCTGCCTGCTGAAGTCACTGCAGAGTGGCACAGCAAAGTGTCCTACTGCAGAGGAACAAATAACCCTAAAAACCCTTGGGAGAGGATTGCAGAGTACCTCCATGAAAGTTTAATTGAGATTTCTCAGAAGGATTCCAGGGACATCTCTGACAGGTTTCAGAGTAGCAGCCGTGTTAGTCTGTATTCGCAAAAAGAAAAGGAGGACCTGTGGCACCTTAGAGACTAACCAATTTATTTGAGCATAAGCTCCGATGAAGTGAGCTGTAGCTCACGAAAGCTTATGCTCAAATAAAGTTGTTAGTCTCTAACGTGCCACAAGTCCTCCTTTTCTTTTTAGGGACATCTCTGTTCATGATCAGTATGCCCTGCATACTCCCCTTTCCCTCCCCCCACTCCAGCTTAACTCTACAAGGGAATGAAAAGAGAATGCTACCTCGGTCTGTTGCACTGCTACTTCCCTAGTATATGTAGCAGCCGTGTTAGTCTGTATCTGCAAAAAGAAAAGGAGGACTTGTGGCACCTTAGAGACTAACACATTTATTTGAGCATAAGCTTTCTTGAGCTACAGCTCACTTCACAAAAGCTTATGCTCAGATAAATTTGTTAGTCTCTAAGGTGCCTGCCACAAGTCCTCCTTTTCTTTTTTTAGTAGGAGTAAGTTAATGAAAAGTCAATACCTGCTACATCCAGGTTGGGTGTCATCTGTACATTGAAACATTGTATCATTTGTTGCCCCTGCTACGTTGGTTATGTCTGCACTGCCAAAAAAGGAGTGATTTCACAGCGAGATTGCTGGCGATCCCTCGAGGATGATCTCTTTCACAGATTTTATTTTTCATGGGTCCTTTGGTGACTGAGGAGTCCGATCCTTGAGCCACAGGCTTGTTGGTAGACATTGCAAGTGATAATTGAAGACAGGGCTGGGCTGCGATTGCTGTGTGACAGTTGTCTTTCCTTTCTTTTCTGGCGTTTTTCCTGTGACCAGGCAAGGCGATTTTCCTCAAAAGTGGACGGTCCCTCTCTGACAAGTCTTTGCTGGTTATCCCTGTCCTGGGCTGCTGTCTCCCAGTGTCACAGCGCGTGGTGTCAATGCCACATCTCTTGATGTTTATCTTAAGGGTGTCTTTAAAGCGTTTCTTTTGGCCTCCCCATTTCTTTTCTCCTTTGATGAGTTGGGCGTACGGCAATTGTTCTGATAAGCGTCCATCAGGCATGCACACACAGTACCTGGGCTACCTCAGCTGGAGCTGGATAATCAGGGCCTCAACACTGACGATGCTGGCCTCTGTGAGGACACCGACATTAGTGCGATGATCCTCCCGCTTTATGTTCGAGGATCTTCCAAAGAAAGTG